CCCCCAGCCACTCGGAGCAGTTCTGGAGCGCCAGCTGCTGCAAGACTTCGTTGTCCTTCAACAGGTTAACAAAAGCGGCTCGAGGGATGGCAGGTCCGATCTGTGTGGGGAACCCAGGAAGAATGAGCCAAGCCCCAGGAAATCAGATCAGCCTGATCCTCACCAAATACTCTCTCCCCTCCTCTCTTCCACTGTGACAGTGGTGACCAAAGCCACCCCCTGTGGTAGCTACCATCAGACTAAACCCTACCATCAGACTCTCCTCACCTCATGCCAAGACTACTGGCACAAGCTATAAGATGCTCTAGCTTCTCCATCCCACGTCATCACTCCTACATTTATATAGTCGTGATAAGCTTCACACCTCTACTCTCCTTAAACCTCTTTGGTAGACCACTCTATGTCCTCACAGAACAGCAGCTACTCTTGTCTTTCGCAGTCCCAGGCAGTTTCTCCCAGGGCCAACACAAGCTTTCCCTGAAGCCCTGGCACAGAGTTACCTGCCATCAGACCCACCCTATTGCACAACTTCTGTGAGGACCAAGAAGCCAGAGGTGGCTTGTGTTCCTGCCAACCAGTGCCCCATAATGGCCTGGGAGGAGCTTCCAGGCTTACTCCTCCCAGTCCCTCTTCCTAAAGACACTGGCATTGCTGGGCCCTGAATCACAGCCTCTCCTCCCTGAGCCCATCTGTCCAGTCTGACACCCAAGCCAATAACCCAAGCTCCTGAGCAGAAACCACCTTCCTTGCCAGGTCTCTCTTCTCCCCCCATAGACAGATGCTCCCCTGTTAGTTCCAGAGCACTAGAACATCTGTGTCCTCCCCCAGCCTCAGAGCCATCCCATACCTGGCTTGAGTCAAAGCAGCGCATGTTGGCCAGGTACAGCTGGATGAGAGACTGGAATGATTTGCTGACCCTCTGCAGGCTCAGGAGCTGCTGCAGTGGCAGATGACAGAGGATATGTGGAACCAAGATGTCTTCCCAGGGCAGGTCCAGGAGGCATCCCCTGGAGGGGATCACACTCATCATCAGACACCAGAGAGCCAGGCTACTGCAGGAGCCAGGCTGGGTCACCTCACACCTACTGCCGGGTGCCTCTAGGAGGAACAGCCAGAAAGAAACACTCAGTGACGTTTCGCACAACCAGCCCACAGCATAAAGCCCCTCGGCGAGACATCAGCAGGGCATGTGCCTGTCACCTGCGTCACCTCCTCCCCCGCCTGGGACGTTCACTGCTTAGGCATCCGAGTC